ATCATTTAAATGATCCTATGCAAGTGCATTAAAGAGAAGGAAAAGATATGTTAGGAGAAACAGGTGCAGCACAAAAGCAAAGATTGGTAACTGATCCTGATCTAATTATACTTAAAATTTTAATCTTCTCCTAAGGAAGCTATGATTACAATTACCTTTATTAAAATAAAGCTAATATGAACTGTTTACTTGCTTGATAATATGAAATGCGATTTCAAAAAATGTAAACTTCTTGCAATGTAAATGTCTATACAGTCTTCTTCAAATTAATCTCCTTGGGAAATGTACACTTTGCCTAATAGTGCACAAATAGTTCTAGTTTAGAACTGCCTTCAGGGACACTTCATAAGAAAAAGAATAACACACACACACACACACATATGGATGCATGCTATGTCTTCATGTAACCACAGGCATGAAAGAATATACTCCCCTGGGTTGCTATGGATGGATGATAGGGGACAAGGAGTGGGTATGAATCATAAGGGGTCATGGAGAATATGTACCATTATGTTAGAAAATATGCCAAGAAAAGGAATACAACAGATACTACTCAAATAAAGGGTCAATTTCTCTTCCAAACATTAATGAAAGCTCCCCATTTGCTCTGTTACAGCATTTGTACAAAATTATATTCATGCCTTGCTTGTCAGACATAATATCTACCTGTTTTAATAAGGGCAACAGAGGACATGTGCTTGACCTCCCCTTCGCTGGTCTAGTCTTAGATATATTTTTATTATGATAAAATAGCACTCGTGTCAAAATGCCTAAGTATCATAGTAATAAATATATAATAAATACTGAAATCTAGAGTGAACCTTGACATATATATCATATCATGATTTATGTGGGTTTTTTAAAAGTGTTGGCTGATATCCAGTCATAGGAATGCGTAAGACATTTATCACAGAGCATATTACAAAGAAGGAAGGAAAGAATGAAAGAAAGAATGAATGAAAGGAAGGAAGGAAGGAAGGAAGGAAGGAAGGAAGGAAGGAAGGAAGGAA